ATAAATGTATACATTATTCAAGTCAAGTTCTAAAAACAAACATTAAGTAATTAATAGCCTTATTTTATAAAACAAACATTACGGACTGGCTTTAGCAATTTCCACTTCAAATCACGTTTGTGCTACACCTCAATCGCTGATGAAAACAGCCTGTTTCGCTTTTATTCCCCAACTCCAAACTTTTCTAAGCTGTCACCACGACTCCATGTGATCAAAACGTACACGGTACACCAGACACGCGGGCGCGGAATACCAATACCATACCCATACCCATACCCATCAACTACAACTACAAAAAAAATATACTCATATGCTCGTCAGCGGAGCCTCCATCATCAAGCAAGCGATCGTGCGGAACCTCCGCTCGCTCCCTTCGCAGCTCCAGCCCTGCGGCATCGACGTCTCGCTGCGTCGCGTGCTGAAATGGACCTCGCCAGCCACCGTCGACTTCGACAACGCGCGTCGCCGGGCCGCCGAGACCGCCCAGATGCCTTTCTCTTTCTCTTTCTCTTTCTCCGCCAACAGCAACAGCAACAGCATCGACGAGACTGAGGGAGAGGGAGTGGAGGGAGTGATCAAGCTGCAGCAGGGCGCGTACCTCGTCGAATTCAACGAGACAGTGCACATGCCGCTCGACTGCATGGGTCAGCTATTCGCGCGGTCGTCGCTGTGGCGCTCGGGCGTCGTGCTGACCGGTGGCGTCGTGGATGCCGGATATAACGGGTCGCTGGGCGCGCTGCTCGACGTGCGAAACCCCGCCGGTGTCGTTTTGTATAAGTATGCGAAGCTGGCGCAGGTCGTCGTGCTGAGGTTGGAAGGGGGAAGGGTCGAGAAGGGCTACGAGGGGGTTTATCAGGGTTCTAGGCATGCTCTGGGCCGTGATGGTGCGTGACTCCATTTGTAATAGAGCCGGTAAAGCTTGTAGCTACCTATGATCTCGGCGTAGTGCCCGACGTGGTCGTGGTCGTAGCCAGGAAAACACTGAAACACTCGATCAAGAGATTATCCGGATTGGCTGTTGGCTGCATCCAGGCGCGCGGTGGGTCGTTTCCAGTTGAATGGTTTGTCTTGTCTTTCTTCTCGGACCCGAAAACCACAGATGGGGGGGGGCTCACGGTTGTAGGCTCCCCATGACGGTTATTTGATCGTAGGGTCTTTCCAGGACTGACTGGAGAACTTTTATCTTGAGGTATCGGGGCAGCGAGGTCCCCATGGTATGGTATGGTTCTCCTCGGTGGTCTCACAGCGAGGGAGGCGATAATTAGTCCTCGGAGTGCAGATGACTACCTACTTGAGGCATATTTTGTTAGTCACGGGCCACTCTCATCTGTGGATCTAGGTGAGACTTGCAAAGTAATTACGTGAGGGGAAACGCCTTGGGGATAACATAACATGCTGAATCTCAAGATGTTTTCCAACCAGGTGAGGCGAACGGATCTTTCGTACTAGATGCATTTCCACGAGATGCGATGAACTCGCTCATCGACATGTGGTCGGCTCACGATTGCTTTATCTAGTAGTCTAACATATACCTTTAATTACACCCCAAGACCTCAACGTAGCGCACCTCACTAATAATGGTACAGTGATGAGAGAGCCGGTGTGCAGGAGAGCTGAGAAAAGCATTTGCCACCTCTTTTCTTATTTTTGAATTTCTCTGATTACATAGCTTCCATTCCATGCCTTCGGTTTGGGAAAGGCGGCAGTTTCCGCAGCAGTTTATATACCATACATACGATACTTCAATCAGCTCGTGCTTTCGAGTTAGAAGGTTTGAATAATAATACGAGATGATATAAATATTAGAAGATGAAATTCGTTGGCCTCAGAATACAGACGTGCCGATACTTCCAAAGAGGTCTCACTCACTCAGGGACGCAATGGAACAGATACTAGGTAGTACAACGCTCCGAGGCGGATGCCCATAATCAATTGGATTGATCTTCTTATCTATAGCACTTCCTCCCTTCTTCAAGGTAGTACTCATAAGCCATTAGCCACTAGGTCTTTAAGCCTTTGGCTTCAAGTTGTTCATCGCTAATCTTCCAACCTTCCTCAGGCTTTGGCAGCTCTAAAGCTACTAAGGTGCTATTTTATCACCTGTTGTAGTTTAAGGGTTTGATTGGCACGGCTCTTTAATTCGTCCCATCGAATTAGTTTGAAGATGCGAAGCGTAAACACGCGCAGTAAGAGGCGACGAGGGGGGCACAAATCGAAGCTCTGTTGTGCCGTGCATTACTCTTTTACGCGCCCGCTCTTGTGGCTTCACGAAGAAAACATCCGGAATCATAGACGAAGAACGAGGCGCAAAGCAGAGGCTTAATCATCCTGGACCAGCTCCTTGATCTCCTCGCTCGCGGGCGCAATACCGACAGGTTCGGCCTTCTCATCACGCCCGCCGGTGCGATCGAGCACGCGCGCCCCATCCTGCATCCAGAAATCGACCTCGTCGACGATATCCGCTACGATGTCCTCGACAATCTGCTCATCGTAGCGCTCGGTGATGGCCCGCGTCTTATCCAGCTTCTTCTGCTGTGGTGTGCCCACGTGTACGGTATCCTCGTCGACATCCATCATCTCCACATCGTTCTGGGGCGACGCATAGCCAGGAGGCGGATACCAGAAATGAGGCCCGAAGTTGGCCTCGATAGAGCCGCCTCGGAACACGCTGATGGCGGGGTAGTAGCCGAGCATGCCGTCGTCTTTGCCTTCGCGCGCGCCTGGCAGCACCTGGGGTTTCGAAGCGGGCGGAAGGAAGGCGAAGAGGTCTGTGAAGGGGGTACCCATCAACACTCCATTCTTATACACTTTGATGTGCGAGTTCGGTAGCGTCCGCAGAGCAGGGACGGCATGATTGGGATTCGGTTTCTCTGCTTGTCTATGGCTGGAGTGGCCGGGGACTGCCATGGGAGATGGATTCATCAAATCCTCTAGTTCTTTCGTTGTATGATAGTCGATCTTCTCGAAGTATATATGTGCCTTAAATCGGATGGGTATCCGGTCCCGAACAATGTTCGTAGCTTCGAGAGCGAGCTCGTCCTCCTCATTCAGATCAACAGCCGGGTTGTACTGCCCCTGAACGACCTTTCGATGCAGGTGTTCGGAGGGCAGTCGAATCTCTAGTCCAATTACATCGCCCTCTCTTATATCCTCGCCAGCAGGGAAGAAGTCCTTGGGCCGGGACATGTGAACCTTCTGACCGGCGACGTCCCTCAAGCCGTAGCTGTAAGCATCGAATCCGACAGGGGCATCTAAGGAAGCTTCCCGTCTGGCGAAACCTACGCGGACATGACCGTGTGATTCAGGCTGATAGGCGGCGTCTTTGCCACCACTCGCGTTCCTGGTTTCGCCCTCGGTTTGCAGTATGCCTCTAGTAACCTTGCATTCCCAGTACCAGGTGCCCTCGCGGACAGCAACATTCGCTCTCGCCATGCGAAAGCCCTTGTCGGTTGTGACGTGGCGCCCCGACTGGTCGAAGAACATGTGTGTGGACGCATCCTCGAAGCTGATATGGGGGCCATAGGGCTCGGGTTCAGTCTGACGGTAGTAGAAAGAGGAGGGGAAGTTCGGGTCGGCAATGCAGTGCAGGTAGTGGTAGCTCTTCTTGTTGAATACACTAAGGAAGTAAATTAGCGGGAGGCAAAGCAGGACGGGCGCAGAAAGGAAATGGCGGGAGGGCAAAAACGCACTGCTCTAAAGTCTCAAAGAATTGGATTGTAGAACCGTCGGGGGCGGACACATCGTGATGGTGGGCGAAGATAGGACCGCGCGAAGGGTCGAAGTCAGAGGGCTTGGGAGGCGCCAGCTTGAAGCGCAAGGGCGAAGATTCATTGGGAGCTCGAACCTTAGTTCTGGGATCGGGTGTTGCTCTCGAACTATCAGTGCCGCCGCCAACACCGCCACCACCAATATTATTACTACCACCGCCAGCACCCGGACTTGCGGCAGCACCGCCGACGCCCGTCTTGGACTCGCGCTTCTTCAGCGACTCCTTCTTCGTTCGCAGAGGCTTCTCGCGCGCCATTGCAGCTGGGTCGTCATGAGACTGCGAGCTCGGATTGGAATTGGAGTTGGGATTGGGATTAGGATTCGGGTTGGGGTTGAGCGGCGACGAGATGGATGGCGTATGGTCGTCTTCAAGCACCCGCTTCTGAGGGATGACAGGCGCCGGCACAGGCGTGACCTGCCTCTTAGGCAGGTCATCGTTAGCCGCCATGACGGGGCACCGCGACAGCGCGACAATGAATCAATCGACTATCGCTCCCTATGTAGAACAATGTCTCGCGACAAACATGTTTGATAAAGAGCGAACTCGGAGTTGCTGTCCTGTTCAAGATCGAGTTGACTTCGAAATTGCCTTTGTAATCGGGTAAGAAGTGTTTCGGCCCACCGCCCACGTAGTCGAGATGAGGTGGTACACAGAAGAGGAGGAGGAAGAAAGTATGCCAAGGTGAATGTCAGAGGTATGATGTAGGCAGATGATTCAAATAGAGTAGGTAGCAGGTAGAGGTTGTACGGAGTAGAGACCTGAAAGCTTGTTGAGACTCCCAGCTTCCACTAGGCGCGTTCGCGTGCTACTTGTGCTACCGAGCTAATGTACTACTCGGCAGCCACACCTTCCCAATCCTACGTCGTTCACATCCCCGCCAGAACCAGCACAGCATCCACCGCCATTCTGGGCTTTTAAAGGGTCCAAGGTATCGGTAGAATGGGCTAAGCTCTGGGTGAATACTTGGTATGCACGCATGTTCGTTACTCTTTGATAGTAGTCATCTAGAACTGGAAAAGGAGCGGCGATGCACCTGGGGTCAGTTGCTTAGCTAGTATTGCTGTGTCGCCGTCAACAAACTTTAAATGACAAAATTAAAGCTTGGCACGTTCACAACTCGATGCAGAAATGATAATAGCAATCTACCCCACGAAGTCGAGGAAGAAAGCATGATTCTTCAAAATAGGACAAAAAGGCGGGGGAAGGGGAGGTAATGGAATAAAAAGAGAAACGACCAGCACGGGACTCGAACCCGCAACCCTAGACTGACCTCTACAACCAATGGGATGGTGTTTGAGTAGGAGGTCTATACGCCTGGAGAAGTTGCTGTTAGTATGACTGGTGGGATTGTTCGTCAGATTGGGAGAGAAACGTACTACCATTGCGCCAACCGGTCGATGTTGTTTTACCCGCTCAAACTTTCTATTCTTATGGCAAATGACATATGCGCTAAGGTCCAATGACGAGGAAACATGCCCGAACCAGTTAGTCGGTCGCACAACTGATTGAGATCAGAGCACCCAATTCATCAGACAGCTTTCGAGAAGTTGCAATACCGTTCAATTATTGCGAAACAAGGAACTCTATTCAAAATCGATTCATACTTTGGGCCATCGGCACGTTCAATGTTTAATCGCCCTTCAGGCTCTGTGCAGCGTCGAGCCGGGTGCAATTTGCCGCTGCATCAATTGAACTTACCCGCATTAACTCAAACAATATCCGCGATACCGGGTCACTAGGAAAATTCATCGCGCAGCACATAATTACCTGTCACTGGCGACAGCTACCAGCAGAACACTTCAACGAGTGAATAACATAAAAGGAATACAGGCATATATTCATTGCAATTCGTTATGTACTGCCACCAATATTGATGCATACACTGGCTTTGCTTCATGATGCATCCACATCTTGAAGGCCAAGCAGTGCTGGGCCGAGGAAGCAAGTCTCAGTGACCCCCATGCGCCAAGCCGGCAGCCAGTCTTGTCGTTACGCATGCACCCTATCCCGTCCTACCGCTACCGAATCCTATCCGTATCAACATTGAAGCTTCTTCTTCCCTCCGAGTCCTCTCCCGTCATCCATTGTTCTTCCACTCAATCTTTAAACCCAACCCCTCAACACCATCCAGCCGACCTCGCAAGAAGTCCCAGTCTAGTTATAGTTATAGGTACACCGCCGCATTCGGGGTAGGCGTCGGGCCGACCGTCGAGCTCGACGAAGGCGGGGGGATGGTGACGCCGTCGTAGCACATGGCGTCGATGTAGCAGTGGCACTGGGCCGAGCACTGCGCGCAGTAGGCCGGGTCGGGCGGGTCCTCGGTCCAGCTGATGGGCACGTACCCGCACGACGACGACTCGCGCCGGCAGTACAGGCACCGGTCACACTCGGTCTGGTTCAAGGGCGCCGGGCACCCCTCGTTGCAGTACAAGCCGCAACTCTTGCAGTCCGGCGCGCACGAGGGGAATTGCGCGAGGGAGAGGGCGGGGAGGAGGGCCGCGAGCCCGAGGGCGATGATGCTGGGGGCACGCATCTTTTTTTATTTTTGTTGTTTTTGTTGTTGTGGGTGTGGATGATGGTTGTATTTGTTGTAAGTGGAATGTGAATATTGAGTTTGGTAGGTATTTGATGGTTGCTGCTCCAATTCCACGAGCCAGCTGTAAGTGAGGTAGAATAGGAACGAGATGGTCCGGGAGACTGCGGCTGATTATATATATAGTCAAAAAGTCCAAACGGTAAGTAAGTCAGTCAGTCAGTCCTCCGGAGTTAGTCGGTTTAATAGCTACATAATACGAAGGAAGAATCCTTCGTTTCTGATTTACTGGCCATATTATTAGCAGCAGTATTATGCGCAAGCGAAGGACTTTGTCTCCAAAAAACTTCCAAGCGTTATACCCGGACCAGAACAGCTCAACCCGCGGGTTTCGAGAACTTGCAGATCTCACTCTATTCTCAGATCCCGTTTTCTCCACCGACCGACCACCAACCAGCCACATGGATACGGGACTTAAACTACTGTGCTGTAGAATTCTGTCTAAGCTAGTGCAGGTCACCTACCTACAGTACATTAGCTCCGTAGGCACAAATTTGCGACGATTCGGGCAATCAGCTCGGTACAGAGTAGGTTAGATGGCGCGGCAAGTCGGTGTGAATAATTCGCATGGAAAGAAAAATAACCAGGTGACGGGCTGGGGCTGGGAGCGCCTAGACAGCTTCCAGCATAGCATCTGCTTAGTCGCTAGGCAATACGAGATGGTCCGCAGAGCCCCCCTCGCTACCGTGCCTCAGCTACTCTCTAGGCCCGGCTCCAGTCGCCAATCTAGACACTCAGCGGTGGCAACCAATTGATCTCGAAGTCTTGTTTATTTCAGTTGGGAGAGTTATGCTTCGGAGTCCAAAAAGTTAGAAAGCCCGACGTGCGACTCGAACGCACAACCTTAGAATATCCTCTAGCGGTCCCTTACGGGCTTGCTCTGCAAAGTTTAGAATCTAAAGTTTGCTTGACTAGAAGTTCTACGCGCTAACCATTGCGCCAGCCAGGCCTGTTCTTTGGCAGGGGCTCGATTGCTGAATTGCAATCCTGGGCGTCTAGTTTAGGTAATACCGTATAGAGATATTGGGTATAATTGGGCTTCCTTCGTGGTTTGTGACATTTTTAGGCACATAGAACTAGGTAGGTAAATTGACGGTGTGTCGTGCTACGCTTCTTCCCGGTGCTCATGTTGTAATTCTTACGACCAATGGTTCAATCTCCATATCCACATGTGGTTTAAGTCCGAGAGACTTCGGGTCAGACTTCGGACCTGACTTCGGACCCAGGCATTTTCTCACACCGCATGCTGAGAATACGTGAGCAAGAAGACGGGCCTCAAGGGTTCCTCTAATCCAGGTCATAACAAGCGTGCTTACGTCCCAAAGCGCCATCGGCCCTTTCGATTTTCGAGCCAGTCAGGGTGAATCCATGGTACCGCCATTATTATCAGATCGCGGCATAGGGAACATGTCAGCGAGAAGGCCAGGGTCATCTCCCTGTGCCCATTTTCGTATATGACGAAGTTCTTCGTCGCCGCCTAAAGAGGCAGGAGATAATTAAATGAATTGCAATGCGGTTGTCTATTGTATGCCGGGCCACGCAGGGGAAGGTGATCTACCACTCGCGGCAGATTGGAGGATCATCCCGCTGCATGGCAGTATCTTCCCAATGCTACATGCCATGTGTGCGCGTACATCCTTGGAGGAAGCACGTTCTTCAACGATTGGAGCTGCCCTACGAGGCTTCTCTGAAATCCAATTGCTGGTAATTTGTGCGAGTACGCTCCCCTGTGTCTTGCAGGGATTAGGGATAAGCATCAGAAAGGTTGAGTCACAGTTATCATCTCATCAATTATATAGCTATCTGTATACGCTCTCGTCAGATTTGTTATCTCCGGCTCTCGCAGGCCAGATCGGTTGTGTTTATGTAAATTCGCCCGTCAGATCTTCTATATGCTGTTATTTCGGGTGAGAAATTCGGAGATTTCGTGCTTCGCTCTCATCTCGTGGAAAGTTGTTGCGTTGCTGAATTCAGTCAAGCGAAACTTTCTACGTGCCTTGCTATGCATCCCCAGCACCGTGATACCGAAAAAAAAAAAAAAAAAAAAAAAAAAAAAACGATTTCTGTCTTGTGACACCCTGAAATTATCAACCTACTACGAAGTAAGCTGACAGCTAATCTGTTTCCGCCAAGTATGGCGGCTCAGAATGGATAGTAGATGCAGTCTTGAACAGTATGGCTCTTGTTAATCGTCACTTCAAAACATGCCTGAATGATTAGGAACTACGGTAGCGTCATGCCGGGATTCGCGAGAATGCGGGACAAGCCAGGGGGTGATCACAACTCGACTTGTATTGGTATTAATGCACAGACACCTCCGATACAGACACGGAGTCATTGCCTAAGCCATAAGCACGTTGCGATGTGAGAAGAGTGAGTACAAATTGGTATCTACCGACATTTTGCAGCCCGAAACGCCAGCAACAGTTGAATGGCCCTCATGTTGCAAACAATTTGAACGCCGGGCCAAGTAATGAGAAAGTAAACATCCTTCGCGGGTGTAGTATCCCAGCCTCACACAGGCTTGCCATTCTCCATGATCTTCCGGCCTTTGCCGTCATAGGAGGTGACGCTGAAGGCCTCGTAGTCGTTATCGTCGCGTAGGTCGTCCTCGTTCATCTCGAGGCCGGCGAGCACGCCTTGGCCGACCTTCGGCCAGGCCGGGGGGACCGAGTCGGGTGAAGAGTCGCGCTCGGCGTGGCTCTGAGCCCCGCTAGAGCTCTTTCTCTTCCGCTCTGATCGTCTCCGCCCGTCCGAGCCCTTCGTGTCCGGCGTCGACACCGCACTACTGAAAGTCGCCGGGGCTGGTGCTGCTGCTTGTGTCTTCGCATCCGCGGCTCGTGGCGCAGCAGCAGTAGCAGAACTACCTGCCGTTGATGGTCCTGCGTTAGATGATGATGCTCCCCGTTTCGAAGATGCTCCCGATTCCGGGGCGGGAAAGATAGGAAGGTACGGATGTAGCTCTGTGCTGTACATGATGATGTTGACGAGCTGAGACTTTGGGATATCGGTGAGGTACGCCCGTTTCTAAAATCAGGTTAGACAAGGGCGTCTGGGAAGGTCTGCTTCGTAGATGCAATAGAACTGACCTGCTCTTTAGTCTTCGATGCCCAGCTGACACCCTTGTACTCCTCCAGTAACTTCTTCTTCGCCATGGCTTTCTCGCGCCTTCCTAGACAACCGCTGCAGAACCATGAACGGGATTCGTCACTAACGAATTCGTCGTCGATGTATGGGTCGTGGCACATTTGGTGCCAGCAGGCATTGCAGCCGTCGCAGAAGACGATCTGGTTCTTGGGAGGGCTCAGTCCTCTGGTGCAGACTTTGCAAAGGGCCTGTTCCGCAGTACGTTTTCCCCAATGCTTTCGCTTCTGTCCGGCTCTAGCGTCTGTGGGGTTGAACTGCGAAGGCTTTTGAACCTGTCGGCCGGACTTCGTCTTGGTGGCCGTCTGCGCTTTCGCAGCGGCATCGGAGTCACTCTCAGACATCTCGCTGTTGATTGACTCGTCCTCGTTTTCGATTTCCTTGCCTCGCTTGCGCTTTGTGCCTCTAATTGCCTTTCCTTTCTGTTTCAAGACAATGGACTTGGGACCTGTTGGCTTAGCAGCAACAGGTTTTGTTGTTGCTGAAGTTGTTGCTGAAGTAGTGGCAGGCCCCGTTGCTTGAGCCTGGAAGGAGCTGTACATGGAGCTATGCGGGGCTGATTTTGCAGCTGATACAGACGTCGAACTCGGCGATGGCAGTGGCATTGTCAGTGAAGTGTTCATGTTCATAACCAGACGCCTCTTCGCATCTTCGAACGCCGACTTCTCGACGCTCCTGGCCACAGTAGAAGCCGAAGCAAGCGCGGCAGACAAACTCCCTGACTTGCCATTTAAGCGTGATAATATCATCTGTGTAGCAGCAGAGAACTGAGGCACATAAGGCCTCTGTACCATTGGACTTATACCTCTCGGTTCTAGATCCGGGGCAGACGTGGTGCCCGTAGCTGGAACCGCAGGCGTGGCGTCTGTAGCCGCAGCATCCCCTCCAGCGCCAGCTGCCGCGGTATCTCCCGCTGTATCATCCATTGTGCGGTCGTAGGGGCCAGCAATTCGATTATCGTGTCATTCTATAATCGTCGTCAACAATACTGGCAGTTGTAATGCTGAGTTGATAGTGAAGTGGAGGTCGTGCACGTGACTCCCACGTGATCTTCTTCATGGGCCTGTCACAGTCTTTACCGAAATTTATTGGCCGGAAAGAGTGAATTGCTACCGGATCTGTAATTTTCGTGCGAATTTTACCCTACTATTACGCTGTTCGGAGCCGACTACTCAATTGATGCTGAAGTAGGGCGTCGGGTGAAATACTATGAGGTGAGACTTGTCTCCAAATTGGATTGAAGATTTAGACTAAGACTCACAGATTGGAAGACGCCTTGAACTAAGTAGGTAGGTAGAAATCATCCACTAGAAAGTATGATACCGTTTCGAGATCTGAATGGGAAGCTGCTATCAAAGTTACATAATGACATAATGAGTACATCCTGCATACCAGGAGGTACCTACTTTCGAACCTCCCGCAATGGTAGTATTTATACGCACTTATACCAGAAGACATTAGGAAGTTTTCAAACGAATACTGAAGAGTTATTAAATTTTGTATGAAGTATATAAGGTATTAGCACATTGAAAGAACTCGATTTCGATATGCAAGCACCTCCGTAGAACATCCAGCATTGTTCGGTTTCTGTTCTTAGAACAAGACCATTGTACATGAACCCAATACATTAGGTAATAACTTGAAGGCAAGCAAGGAGCAACTCGCACCTTCTTACATATATGCAATCAGTTATACTAGTATGATCAATATTAGCGCGTAGACGGGATTCAGACCGTGACAAATAGGTAGCCCTCCGTGCTAGATGAGGTCATCGCCCATTGAGAAATTTATCTCACGATTGTCTACCTTGTAGTATAAGTCGCCATTTCCAGAGTACTGTGGCGGATTATATGAATTAGATGATCCCTATTGACATTGCGGTCGGCCTTAGTCTCCTTAGTCTAGCCGTTGCTGCCCGTCGCAGGGTAGTAGACGATGAAAGATTGATAGGCGCTATAGCTTTTTGTACACAGGGACCAGTGGCGTAGTTGAGAATGATCTAATCATAATAGTGTTTTGTTGTACTTCGAGCATAGCAGATTATCAGTTCTAAAATCCTCTCAATTTCTAAGATCGTGTGGCCTGCCGTCACAATGTGAAGTGGCCCCCAATACTACAGTCTCTATATACAATGTATACAGGATACGTCACATTGAGCAAGCTTCCCAGCCTCCATGAAACTATGAATTCGCCGCGATTCCTCTGGGTTCCCTTGCATCCGCTCCGCCCCTGAAATTACAGCGTTTTGAGTGCTGCGAGCCCTCAGCCACATCAGCTACGTCAACTATAGAATGTCACAACAGCCATCCGTATCCCAGTCGATAAGACCGGATACATCATGATATGACACAATTAAACATAGCCTACTCAGACGCTGATTCTTAGGGCAGTGTAGGATTGCCGCGTATCTTCCTTGCATCACAGGCGGACTGATCCAGGAAATCCTATGGGACCGAGCGTTGTTCCTATTTTCCTAATGGCCTATGTGCCTGATTGGACTGCGCAAAGGATGAGATTTATCCCTATCGACAACATCGAAGCTTCACGGTGAGCCAGCACTCATCAAGTCATAGCATAGTATACCCAGAAATAAAATCCCCGAGTATATACAGACAGCCAGTAATTGTAGCCAATTCTACTCTATCTATCTACCTAACCGCCCCCGTCTCCTTCAACTTATCAATCTCTGCACCATCTAACCCCAGCAGTACACCCAGCACCTCATCCGTATGCTGCCCCAGCGTCGGCGGGGGGGTCCGCGCGCCGGGCTTGCTCTCGCTGTACTTGACAGGGGTATTAACGACC